GTGATGTTGTAGAGCTGATGGTAGACCCCAGGTAACAGAACTTGTCCACTGTCTTAAGTTCTTTGTCGTTCAGCCATATATGGCTCTGCTCTGCACCTTCTTGGGTAAGGATGACTGTTTTCTTAACACTGATGACCAAGCTAAAGATCTTGCATGCTGTTGACAGGCGGTCCATCATTATTTGTAGGGTTGATTCACTGTGAGCAACAAGAGCATCATCATCGGCGAAGAGAAGGCCTCATACTGTTGTTTTGTTAATCTTGGTCTTGGCCTTGAGTCGAGCAAGATTGAAGAGCGATCCATCAGTTCTCCGGTGGAGGAAATAATAATAATAACAATAATAGTAATAGTAATAATAAATCTAATAATAGCATTTATACAGAGCATGTCAACGTTCTACAGCATAGTCTATGCTCTTTGCAAGCTGTATTACCCAAGCAGACCCTAGAGCACTCAGAAGCTTTCTCGGCTTCCCGGGAGAAAAACGAACTGACAAGTTCTTTCATTGTCTATAGCCGGGTACCTGTTTTCACGGGTTTGAAAAAATTAAATGAGGAAAATTCGTGAAAACTGTCTTTTCAAAGGACACAACATCGGGGCCCCCGACGGCATTCGAACTCACGACATTACGGTTGTGAGTCCAAGAGCCTAACCACTAAGCCACCGACGCCACATGAAATTGAATGTCTCAGAGGACCATGTTTCTTATAACATCGCCGGGCTGGTTCACACCATGAACGCGCAAATGAAGGGGAAATCCCCAGTCTCGCATAGAAGAGTTGGTGTGCAAAATTCCCTTCTCACCCTTCACTCGTTTCCAAATAGAGTCACTTAGTGTGCTTTATGTTGAGCCAGGATTAAGCCAAAATGCACAGTTTTAGATGTTATAGCATAAGTCTATAGGTGATAACTAACCTCTAAGGTGTCTTTCAGACAGTGGTCCCTAAGAATGTTTTTGGCTAATCTCCTCTGAAAATCACTGTAATGTGTGAGTCCGTGGTTTCGCAACCTTTCTACTGGTTACCCTCCCACTAATAAGG